ATAGTCTGCAATATGAAGATTTGGGTCTTCACCCTTAAGCTCCACTAAATTGCTTCCTTTCTATCATCGTTATAAATTGGGGTTTAATCTCAAACTGTACCCCATCAAAAGCCGGAGTGGGAGTAAGGTGTGGAAAATCTGTAAGCTTTGGTTGTGAGTAATCACTAAGCTTCTTTGGAGCCTTCATCTCTGATTCTGGATTTGTAGATACCTCGGAATCGCTAGAATCAGTTGGAGGATCTCGGTGATTATTATTATCACCAGGATCCGCTAGAATTTGCTTGTAGAAATTCTTCTGTCTATGGAAGGATCGTTCGATCTCAGGATCGAATGGGATGTACCCTGATCTGGAACACCTGGGCATAAACAAAAAACAACTAAAAGTAAATATGAAACTTGCCTCAAAGAACTAACGTTCTATGAGATAAAAAGAAATAACCTAGACTACAAAAATAATCAGAAACAAAAATAAAATCGTTTCCCTGGCAACGGCGCCAAATTTTGACAGGCTAAAGTCGTATCACCTAATCAAAAGTAATTCCTAAATCCTCTAACTAATGTAGATAGGGAAGTAGGGTCGAATCCACAGAGAAACGAGTCTTTCTATTCCTAATTAATTAATATAATCTAGATTATGAAGTAACCAAAATATAATGATTAAAGGAAACTAAACTACGAAGATTAAGAATAAGGAGAAAACCATGAATAAAAGGCCTAGGGAATAGGTTCACCAATAAATAATATTCTAGGGTAAATCATAATAATCAATCATCAATGCATACATTAATCAGATCATAAAGGGCTTTCGCTACGTATTATTACAATCACACAATTAATCTACCGGTATTAAATCTCATCTCTCGAATCTCGACTTAACCATTTATAAATTAACCTGCCTATTGAAACTAGACCTAAACATTAATTCTCATCTTTTGAATCTTGAATCAATATTGTTAAACTCATGCATAAAAGATCTGCGCAAATCTAGTCACAGAGCATTAAATCAATCAATAGGAAATTAATCTAGCGTTGATAATCAACAACAATAAATTACCCCTTCATATTATTTATGGATCCCCACAAACCCTAGAAATAGAACTACTCACACATAATAAAAACTAAACTAATCAAAGCAATAAAACAAGACATGATCAAAGGAATAAAATAAATAACTAAGATTAAGAGAAGAGAAATCGTTACCAAAGAAATCTGGAATTAAGAATAGAGTTAAGAACAAAATATATGAGAGAGAAACTAATCTAAAAGCTAAGTAGAGAGAGAAAATCTAAGAAATAATTAAGAAAGAGTAAAAGAAGATCCTAAACTCGCTTAACGGAAAAGTATTTATACTAAGCAAGAATCCTAAACTAAAACAAACTTAAACGACGCTAAACGTCTCTTAATAATAACACGCGCCCGATCGGGCGCGCCTTTTTTTCCTCAGATGTACTTCTTCGCGCCCGGACGGGCGCGAGATCGGGCGCCAGCCTTGCTTCCCTCGCCCGGCCGGGCGCGCCTCCGGGCGCCAGCCTCTTTGGTCGGGCAACACTCTTGGGCCACTATTTGGACTACGATTGGGCTCCAATTCTTCCAGCCAATCTGGGCTTTGTCTTTGGGTTTTGAATACTCGGTCCAAATGTCCCGGTATCACATATACCGAGCCCTTAATCACTGGTTCGATGACTCTAACCGGTCCTGGGCTATAGAATCTGGTCGTGCTTCTCCAATGCTCGTAATTGCTCCATAATATCTCGAAAAAATGCTCCAAAAGTGCAAATCCCTGCAAAAGTCAACCAAATCTACGAAAACACTAGAAAACATCAATTAGTAATAAAAGTGGCTCTAAAGAGCCAAAAACACTACTAATTATGATCAAGGGACGGGGGTAAAATACTATATAAATTGGACATATCATTATGCCTAACAAGTGTCGAACTATGATTGGTTATGATTGTTTTTACATTCTTTTAAAAATAAGGAAACTTTGTAAATTGCAACCATTTAAATTTGTAATTTGTAAATTGCATCCATTTAAAAAAATTGCAAATTACAGCCCAAAATTACTAATAAATTGTAAATTGCAACCCAAATGGATCAGTTAATTACGGATATACCATTATTAATAAGTATATTTGATAAATTTTGTACTAATAATCTAGTAAATACAAAACAATTATACCCTTGATGATGATTGATTTTCCTCATTTTTACATCGTATCGTATTATAGCCAATAAAGAATATTGTAATAATTTTTTTTTTGAAGAATAATAAATACTACATGGTGGCCTTCAGGTTTTAAAAATTTTACATGGAAGACAAACTTTCTTTCAATTCTATCAAGTGGCACTCTGGTTTTACAAAATTAAGTTTCGTGCCCTTTTTTTGTCTTACTTTTATTATTAAAATGGTTAACTTTAAGTTTTTTTGTTTAAAAATTAAACAAATTACATTTTAAAATTTAAATAATAATAAAAAAAATAATAATAAGAACCACCATCACCTCTTCCCAGCCACTGCTACCCTGACCCTCACCGGCCAGCCACCTCTACCCTTTCCCCTTTTCCATCGCGCGACCCTACCGGCACCCTAAGCCCTCTAATTCCCTCGCTAACGACCCTTAACCTATCTCTTAAACTCTAAATCCCCCCACTTCTTCCCTCACCACTAAAACAACTACCCCTTCCTTCCGTCGGCGTTTTGGTGGTGAGGGGAAGAGGTGCAGGGTTCAGGTGTTTGGTTGGGCTGTCGGCAAAGGAAGAAGAGGGCTGAGGAAAAGGGGATCGACATTCAGAGGTCGAGATAAAAAGGAAAATGGAGGCTGGGGAGGCTGGGTAGGTCGCCGGCAACACATGGAATCTGTTCGCCAGCGAGGGTAGGGCTAGCTAGGTAGAGAAATTAAGGTCGGGTGGTAGGGTTGCGGCGGCGGCGAATCTGATGGCTGGGAAGAGCCGAGGAGGAAAAGGGTGGTGGTGGTTTTTCCTTTTTTTTTTTTTTAATTTTATTATTTTAAAATATAATTTAATTAATTTTTAAATAATAATAATAATAAAATTATAAAAAAAAACCCTAAGATTAACCCTTTTAATTATAAAAGTTAGCCAAAAAAAAACTAATAAAAGGGCACTATACTTAATTTTGCAAAACTAGAGAGCCACTTGATAGATTTGAAAAAAGTTTGTCTTCCATGTAGAATTTTTAAAATCGAGGCCAGCATATAGAATATCCCATTGTTATTTAATAACAATATAATTTGACAACATCATAAACTACAACACAAAATATAAAGATTAAATGTAATTTGATCTTATTATTTACTAACAAAGCGATAAAATATTCCTAAAAAAAAAAGCGATAAAATATACTTCGTATAACACAATTGATTGACCGACTTGATAAGCAACAAGGGTCTTGATTCTTTTTTTTTTTTTTTTGTGAAGACACGAGGGTCTTGATTCTAATGTCATGACGATCAATAAATATCTCAAAAGCATTAATGGTATTTGCCGATCATGCTATAAAATTCTATACTAATTCAAAGTCATAGTAGTATCAAAAAATAACTAACCAATACGATACTATGCAATATAAATAGAACATAATTTGTGTTCAGTAATTTAGAGTATTGAGATTATTTCCATGATCGTTATATTAATTTGCTTAGGATAAGGTGTAGCAAATTAATTAGCAAAAGATAGAGCAAAGACAAGCCCAAATTTGCAGCAACAAATGTCACTCGATGGAGCCTTAGAAGCCCGATCGTACGTGAGGACAAACAAGTAAGATGTTGTTGTGCAATTCGATCGGGCTATGGCAGCTTGATCAGGCCCGTGTGTGTGGCGTTTTATTCCCACCCAGCCACCCGATCGGGCAGCAGCCTCTTGATCGGGCCCGCACACATGAAATCATATTGAATTATGCTCGCCCGATCGAAAGGTAGTCGCCCGATCGGGCCCGTCATATTTCTGGGACGTATTCTTTGATACTTCCTCCGTTCTGTTAATATTGCAACAAGGAGGAAATTACGCATTCCAAAACACAATTTATATGCTAAATATCTATTATTGTGTAAGCGTAAAAATTATAAAAACTTGATATTGTGAAAGTATTTTATAAGACGAATCCAACAATATCCCACTTGACTATATTTTGTTTAACGTATAACTCATATTATATGGTCAAACAAGAGTGATGAATAGTGCAAAAAGTCCATTGTTGCAATATTAATAGAACAGAGGAAGTATTATGAAAGTGAGAGATGGAAAAGGGCGATCAGTACTACCTCCGGTCCAAATTACTTACAGCTTTGGGGTATTATTATTTGTGAGATATAAAATATTACAAAGTTGCGAGTAATTTGGATCGGAGGTAGTATTTTACTTTTTCATTCTCTTTGTTTTGCAAAGGTTCTTTAATTATCATTATCACAAATCACATACACTTATTTGCATTGTATTGTAATCATCCTACTTGTGATTGCAATTTTTCTTCGTGGTATCTCCTAAGTAAATTTCCGTGATACCCAATTATAGTATAGGGTCGGAATTATACTTTTGGGAAAGTGATCCCGTTACGCCTCGAAGTTTTTACCGGTTTATTTTGTTTGCTTTCTTTGTGACCCTTGTTAATACATAAAAATCCCCAACAATTTGTGCACATGTGAACCGGATAACCACAAATTTATTATAAAATTGCTTTAATAATCATTGTTGAACAAAATAAAGTGGTGGAAGGATAAATCTTAAATTGTAGTAGAAGTAGTATTTGTGTGGTTCATACTTTAAGTGATGTTATGGAATCAGTGATCGCTCGTAGATGGAGTTATTTATATTATAAAACAATATGACAGTATCTGCGTACTTATAATTGAGATCTAAATTAAACCGTTGGCCGTCTAGAGTTTTGGTGTTGATCACGTGTTATAAAATAGAGAGAATATATGAGAGATTGAAAGAGAAATATATATATATATATATATTGAACAGTAAACCTAAACCTAAAATACTCATGAGAATATAAGGGTATAATTGACATTCATAAATATTTCATAACAAATGAAGCAATACAAAAGTCCTTTTTTTTTTTTTTTTTTTTTTTTTTGAAAGAGAAATATTTCTGAAAACTATCACTTTTTGGTTGGGTAAAAAGTGAAAGAAAAACCAGCTTCCTTGAGTTTTTCAAGAATTTGATCAAATTGCTTAGCCATTGAGCTAGTCAAATGATTGCTCCAATCTCCAACCTCTCCTTTCCTAAATAAAGCTTTATTCTCAACCCAAACATAAAATTTTCCATTTTTATTAACCTCCATTTCTTTCATACTCTTAAGACTACACAACTCGATTATCTTATCTATAACATTCTCCTTCTCCTCCTCTTCAGAAAACGGGCAACCCACAAACTCGGCCAATTTCTTCAAATGATCTTTTGGTTCCTTCTTTAGCCCTTCATATTCTATGAACAACACATGTTTTGGATTTTCTTTGCTCTCCTTCCAATACCCTAACACATGATCTTCGTAAGGGCCGAACGGGGAGACACCAGCGCAATACTTGTTTACATATCCTTCCATCATTTCCTTATCCGGGCTAGTACCCTTACTCACTTCGAACTGAAGATAAAAATGCCATAACGACACAAAAGTGTCAAAAGGATTTCGACAAACATAAACAATTCGACATTTCGAGGTTTTGATTGAATCTGGTAACGAATGGTACGGCATGTGGGTAGCAAAGAGTCGAGGTGAGGGTAATTGTGTTAAATCTGGTGGGTTTGTTAGGCTATTTTTGAAAACTTCTATCTCGAGGTGGAGGACGAGCTCATGAGGGTTTTTGGTGTTAAAAGGGAGCTCAGAAAGGTGGGATAATTTATTTCGATTTAGAAGGGCAAAAAGGAGGGATTTTAACCATGTTGTACCAGTTTTAGGAAGGCTGGCTAAGATGATATCGGTATCATGAGGTTGAAAGTGGGTTTGGAATGCGATTATGCCCTCTAAAAGTACACTTAAACACCAATAACCCTGATAAAGTTGCATTGGAAACCCAAACCATAACTCTTTAGGAAGAGAGAGTTCAAGATCTTTGATTTTCTCACTTAATTGCTCTTGAGTGTTTGATGAGTTTTTGGGTTCTGATGGTGAAGCCATGTTAAACAAAATAAAATATTGAGTGGGTTAAATTATGTATATCTCTTATTCTACATACTAATCATATCATGTTTATATATAGGCAGTTAAGGCTTAAGGGGTTATTTCCTTTTTATGCTATATGTAATCTTTAAGGGTTAAGAATAAGTTTATAATGTCTTTCTAATTTAGGGTCTGTTCACATTTACTTAATTTTAGTTCAGTGTAAGTCATAATTTCCCTCTTTCATAAAATATTCAGTTCAGCTCCAATCAGTTCAGTTCTGTTCTGTTTAGCTCCAATCAGTTCAGTTTAGTTTAGTAAATGTGAACAGACCCACACGTGTAAATAAGTGTAATTGGTAATATTTTTTTATTTAATTTTTTCCCATTTTAACTCCTTGTATGTAACTCTAAGAATCATGTACCATATAGTTTTGTGTTTTTTTTTTTTTTTTAATTTTCTTTTTTTTTTTCTAAATAATGGTTGCGTGTGTAGACTTTTACGAAGATGTGTTGTCCCTGTCCGTGTGGAATTTAACTCACAAAACGTGTGTAGCCTGTAGGTTTTTGTTGGTATGTAATGTAATGTATGGGTGTGATTAGAGTTCTTATCCAAAACAGATAATCACATGTACGGCAGCACAGAATGATGGAAACGTGTGTGATTTCCAGATACCAGTAGATAATTACCATGATTTCATTATCTATATACCAGTAAATATTACCACATATACTGGTGGTTGTTTGTTGCTTTGATTATTTCCACAACAATTATCACTTTATAGCATCCCCATCAATGAGGAGAATTTTGCTCATGAGCAAAAATGGTGAGCAAGATTGCAATAATAACTTCCCCATCAATGAGCAAATGGAAAAATGCTCATGAGCATAATTGATTTTGCTCATCCTATGAGCAAAAATGAAGTTGAATAGTAAAATGGTGGGGCCCAACAACTCTACAAACTGCCGTTTTTTTTTGCTTTTGAGACCCTCAAAACGACGCGTTTTGGGTTTGCCTTGTGAAGAGGAATCCCCAAAACGACGCGTTTTGAAGGGAGGAAAGAAAAAAAAAAATTAAGTACAGCTGCTGACAGGGGCGCGTTAGTCCAGCCCATGGGAAGCTGACACGCGTCCCTGTCAGCTTGTTCCTCCAATCAGCAATTGTTACCGTTTTGCAACGGTAATTAATTTTAAACGGTAATTTGGCCGTTTAATAATTAAAAAAATAATCAACGGTTGTAATTTTTTTTTTTCTCTACAAATAGAGATCCATTTTGACATATTTTGGTATAATGTCAAAAATCACTAAAACACTCTATATTACTCTTAATCCCATTTCTAGTGAGATTTATTTTATATTTTCTAATATAAAGTTGAGATAGGTTTTTTTTTTGGTTTATTATTTTTAATTAATATTTTTAGTACTCTAATATTTTTTAAAACATTATAAATGATATTTTAAGTAGCAATATTTTGTTTTACTTTAAAAAATCCAAAAAAACTCTTTATTATTTTTACTCCCAAGTCTAGTTAGATTAATTTTTCATTTCCTAATATAAAGTTCAAAATGGTTCTTATTTTATAGTTTAACTACTTTTTTCCTCAAAAAAAAAATAGTTATTTACTTTTTGTAGTACTCAAATAATTTTTATAATGTTATTTTTATTTTAATTTCGATGCGCCTCTTAAGTATTAATTATTGTTTTTAATTTATTATACAATTTAATGGATCCAAACAACCCTAATTACAATCAACTTGCTCAACATTTTTCTGATTTAGGTGATGATTTCATCACTAGTCCAAATTTTCAATTATTCCTAGAAAGATTAGGAAACCCTTCTTCTCAAAATTCCGTTAATCAACCAACACCTCCACAAATTCCTAATAATGAAAACACTTATTTTGAGCAACAAACTCCTTCCGTTACCGAAGGGAGCAACTCTGAGTACGATGCCAGCCAAGAAGAAGCTGTTCCAGAGACACCACAGTACCCTCCACCACCTCCAAGGATTCCGGCCAATCAACCACTTGCCAAAGCGAGTCGCATTTGGTCGGTTGCTGAGGATGAAGCTCTAATTGGGTCCTACCTAGAACTAAGTGATGATGCGCTTCGTGGTACGAGGCAAAAGGCATCCGAACTATGGCAAAAAGTTCATGCAGCTTACTGTAAACTACAAGCTGAGAAACCACATATTCTCCCGCCAAGACCTATGAAGAGTTTGGAGACACATTGGAGAAGAATGGAAGCTGATTTGCTACAGTGGACTAATTGCTATGAGGAGGCGGGCAAACTCCCTGAAAGCGGAAGTGGTTACAACAAATCCGATCGAATTAAAAACGCTTCCAAGTTGTTTTATATCTCCTCTAATCCACAACATAATTTTGCATTTCCACATGGAATGGAAATGGTTAATAAAGATCCGAGGTGGAGGACTAAACTAAGATGGGATCTGTCAAAGGAGGAAAGTCAGGGTTGCGGTGTCGATGATGAGGAAGATAGCAGTGGAAGTGGGAAAAGGTCTAGGGTAGAGAGTGAGAATGAAATCCGTACTAATGGATTTATGTCCGGAAGATTACCACGACCAGACGGTGTAAAAAAAACGAAGGCTAAACGTAAGGGAAAAGCAGTTGCTTCCGAAAGTGCAATATTGAGCATTAGTGAACAGATAAAGACGTGTACTGAGGTTAGAGTAAGGGAGGCGAATTTACGACAACGGTTGAAACTTGATAGAGAAAAGGAAAAGAGGAAGCAAAAACAAGTTGATTTAGCAGAGAAGAAGATGAATTTTAATATGCTTCAATCACTTTTAGCAAGGACAACACCACTCACTCCAGCTGAAGAGGCCCACAAGGACGAGGTACTTCAATTAGTCTACGGTAGAAAATGATTGTATTTCTTTAATGAGTTTATTTTTAATTAGTTGTATTCTGTGGTTAAATTGTTTCATTATTTTATCTTTAATTAGTTTATCTTTAATTTGTTCAATTTTAATTAGTAGTATTCATGTCCCTTGTCTTATTAGACATTGAGTAGTCATATGTCTTTCATGTCAGTTGTCTTTTTGTATTTTGAATAATCAAGATTCTTTTCTGTCTTACTATCTTTAATCACTCATGGAATTGTCAATCATGTTTCATCACTCATGGAATTGTCATTCATATTTTTTACCTCTCGTTGAGAGAGAATGAGGAGGATTTTTTTTGCTCACTAATGGGGATGCTCTCATAATGCTGTGTTTTTAGCTCATTGTTTTCCTAAGTAAGTTGAATGCTACTACATATCTAATAACTATTACTAAAACAGAAATATGCTGACATCATCCTCTCTCAAATGTATATGTGTCACTTTGTCATGAAAATTTTTCCCACCAAAAGCACTTATGATGTCATATATATATATATATTGAAGAATTGATTTTTTTTATTTTTAATCATTTTCATTTAAATCTTTTGACTGTGTCAATTAATAAATAATTAATTTTTATTTTTGGTTGAAATAAATAATTTGATATCTAGAAATTGGCTTTCATTTTTATATTTTGTTACTCATGTAATTTATGATGATAGTTGTATATATTTTATGATTTAACTTAAATAATAGAAATAAGCAATTTCATTCAATAATTTTTGTAATCTGTGCATCGCACAGATCTAATCTAGTATATTATATTCATGAAATAAGAAATATCGCACTATCATCTACATAAGTACATAGGCCTTAATTTAGTTAATGAAATTAAAAAAAAAAAAAAAAAAAAAAAAAAAAAAAAAAAAAAAAAAACATGCTTGTGTAGCTTAGATATTATACTCCTATATCACTAATAAATATAATCGGATTTCAAAGCCAGACCCCAAGACGACAACACATAACATCATAATTTTTCCTAGGAATTGGTGACAACTATAAAAGTTATTTCAGAGTTTTAATTTCAATAAATTTTTAATCTTTCACATACATAAATAATTTATATTTTTTATATGCATCTTATAAAATATTATTTTTGTATTAATGAAGTTCGTTTTAAAAAATGTTTTTTCTCATGAACAAGATTAATTTATGATATATGTCGGTTTGTAAATTATTATTAAAGTAATTTCTTTAACACTAATCCCTATAATATTAACAAAGTAATCAAAACCTTAAATAGGGGTGTACAAGATGTCTCCTTGCACAGGGCCCTGGATATAAAAGCCCAAACACATGGCCTAAATTTTTTTAATCAATGACATACGTATACTAATAATGATATAGCCGGTTTTTTTTGGGTTTTAAATCCTTTTAATAAATTTAATACTTTGTCTCTCATCCCATTAATATGCTATTTATCATTCAGCTTTGTTTCTCACGCTTCTTCTTTGTTTCTTTAGATATTTCTCTTTATTAAATTTTTTCAGACTATAGTAGGAGTAACTCCTCTACCTTATAAAGTGGAACCACCTCTTATCTTTCTCCAATGTGGTGTATTTCACTTGTGAGTGTCCTTAGAACTTAGAGCACACCAGAAGGTATAATATAATCCTCATTGGGAATGAACAACACTCCCCTCACTTGTGAGTGTCCTTAGAACTTAGAGCACACCAGAAGGTATAATATAATTCTCATTGGGAATGAACATCTAATAGAGACCCCTTAACCAGTGGCTTGACAAATACCCAGTTTTTAAACGGCCCAACAAACCTTGGCTCTGATACCATGATAAACGGGTCTGGGCCACAGCCGTAACAACTGTCCACTTTATACGACTAAGGAGGTTCCACCTCAAAACCATATGACAATGAGGGAAGTAGCCCTTTAGCCTTATAAAGTGAACACATCATTCTTATATCTTCAATGTGGGATACACTTCCCCATACAAACTCTTACTTATAAACTAAACCAATGTGGGACAACACACCACTCACATGTAGTTTTTCTCATGGGCTTAACACTTAAACATATACTTGTATTACTTTGTGTGTGTATAAATAACATGATGAATTACTATTTCTAAGATGGTAAGAATGTTATCTGATATTCATGAGTCTCACATGTTGGAGACTTGTGGGATTTTTTTTCTCATAAAATAGTGACATGAAATCATTGTTAAAATGCTAGTGGTGACGTGGCGCAATATTAGTGTAGATCTACATACAATATAAACCTTTTTAGAAATTTAGGAATGCTTTTTTTTTTTAAGGAAAGATATAGCAATTTTATTAAAAATTAACCAATTCCGCCAAAGTTAAAATACTTTGAGGGAAAGAACCAAGTCGTACATACTCCAAATGTGCACCAATATCCCATCTAGCTACTAGAGGAGCGACGGTGTTACAAGAACGTTTTACATGAGTAACAATACAAATATCAAACCAAGCTCTATCACACTTAATATCATCATATATAAATCACAAATAGAGGAGATAGCCCCTCTGTATTCGCATTCACCTGCTTCACCACGTTCACGGCATCACATTCCACCCATAAGTTCTTATAACCCAGCCTTCTTGCGAGTTTTAAAGCAAACAACACAGCCATGGTCTCAATATATTCAGGCTTATTACCGTATGCTCTCTTCGTTGCTGCACGTAACAAGTCTCCCCCCGCATCAGGAGCAACAACTCCAAGTCCAGCAATTCCTGAGTTCGGTACATGAGCATCCGTATTAAATTTCACAAATCCAGCTGGAGGGGGATGCCAAGCATTGAAACTCGTATGGCTCGAGATTTCAATAGGTCACTGTATCACCTTATGAGTATAGGAGTTGTAGTCTTGTACGAATTTGCAGAATCCTGAAGCTAGCATGACAAAGTTCGGTCTATCATTATCATGAACTAGTAGATTTCGACATCTCCATGCTGCCCACATCAGACCAGCCATAGAGCAAACAATATCAGAGAAAAATTTTCGCACAAGCCAATCCCAGAGTGAAACAAAAGACTCCTTAGGGGCATAAACCAGATTAACATTTAGCTCACTATGGTCCCTTATCTCCTTTGCAGCTTCACATTCGAATAGTGTGTGAATAATAGTCTCCTCCAAGGCACCACAAATCTGACACGATCTCTCACTCACGATATGACAATGGTGCAGCCTCTATCTCTTTAACTGCCAAATTTCCCTTCATAGCACTCCACATAAAGTGTTGGAGATTTCCAGACCGGTATCCACACATCTTCACTCAACCCTCCATTGTGACCCACAAAGCTGCCCATCTTAGCTAGCCAATACCCCGATCTCACAGCATACACCCCTGACTTCGTCCACCCCCAATACCTCATATTAGCGCAAGGTACAGTAGGTAAGGGAGTGGCGAGAATTGCAGCACACCACTCAGCACCCACCACACTTAAAACTTTTGACGCATCCCAACCGCTTCTATCATCATACATAAGCTCACAAACTTTCATCCCACCCAACACATCAACATTTGTGGGGATTCTACAAGGCTTACCATCAATAAGCAACCAAGTGTCATCCCATATGTCAATGCTAGAGTCATTCCCTACTCTCCACACTAAACCATCCCGCGATAAGCATTTAGCACCCCAGATACTTCGCCAAGACAAGCTAGGCTCAAGACCCCAATTTGCATCAATAATTGAAGAGTACTAAGTACTTTGCCTTTAAAATCTTGTGAAGGTTGACTCATTAGTCTGTAAACGCCAAAGTTACTTGGCTAGGAGGGCTTGATTAAAACATTTTAGGTCCCTAAAATTCATAAACCCCCCCCCCCAGCCTTCGGTAAGCACAACTTATCCCAATTTTGCCATGCATTCCTCGCATCTTCCCTCGGTCCCCACCAAAATTTACATAGAAGCGAATGAATCCCATCAATAAGACCCTCTGGCACCTTAAAAATACTCATCATGTAAGTTGGGATAGCTTGAGCAACTGCCTTGATAAGAACTTCTTTGCCCTGTCTCGACATCAATCTCTCCTTCCACCCATTCACCTTCTTTCAAACCCTCTCCTTTAATCAGGTAAAAATCGCCTTTTTGGACTTACCAATTATTTTTTGTAATCCCAAATACTTCTCATGTATCTCCACTTCCCTAACACCAAGCATCTCAATAATCAAATTTCTCCTTTCCACCGAAACAACATTTACAAAAGCCACTTCTGTCTTATCTAAATTGACCGAGAGACAAAAGCATGAGAAGGGGAATACAATGAGGATTGATAAGTGGGAAAAAAAGGAGTCCATTATTTCTAGCTTGAAAATAACAGAAAACAGGATTGAAATGGGAGACAATTATTTTTTTGGGCCTTAAATAAGGTTGAGCCCATAATTTAAGTATGTCACAAACATACCGCATACAAAAATTTGTGATATTTTTAACTATGTCTCTTTTTCTTTTTCTTAATTTTTTTTTTTTTTTTTTTTTTTTTTTTACAAGAATTATGTACAATCTAAACTTGTAGTGACTTATATTCTAAATATAATAAGATACGTAACTTAATACATGTAAGTTCCCGTCAAAAAAAAAAAATACAAGTTAAAAAATCCTAAACAAAGTAGCCATAGTTATGTAATGATATGCTTGATTGTAGATTACAACTATCAGGGCGAGAGTAAAAGAGTGAAATTGGTTAGGAAACGAATTTGACATGTAAATTCATATCGAAAATGCTTATTCGTGGAAGAATTTTATATACACCCGTCTCATAAACCTACTCAACGAATTTTCCAAAAGTAGCTATAGACATTAGATGACTCATATATATGTACAAATTACAAAATAACTTTAACTTTAATGTGGCAAATGTTGCTTAAGCATTGCTCCACAACATTATAAAACGTGGTAAATAGACAACATAACCATAACCTTAACTTAAACACCATCAACATTTTGAAGGCCTCTGATAATGTGGAGGCAAGGACGGACAATTTTCATTCATGTGGGCATATGGCTCTACGCTGTTGTATTCCGGGAGTTCCATGCGATACTCTCCGAGAATCTGGCAAAACGGAACCTTCCCGTTCTCAGTGTTACACCAGCCAGGCAAACGTGTTGTGTTGCTCTCGAAAATTTTGAGCATATATGCATCGCGGATCTGCAGTTTTGTTCATAAATTCAGGCATTAAAAAGGGACCAAAACAGGAAGACGTGAGAAATAATAAATTATTTGGACAAAGTAAATAGTACTCACTGTGAACTCTGTTACTTGGACAGAGTCATAGAAAGGATCAAAGACTCCAGCCTCTTTATACATTGCAAGGATGAAGGCAACACATGTTGTGGATTTACCGTCACTGTATATCCATTCATCTTGCTCTGGGATGGTTAGCAACTGCTCAAATGCTATGCCTCGGTTTTCGATCTCCAACAGGATTTCATACAAGTCCAAGCCCTAAAGTAAAAGGTGCTACAATTAAACTACAGTATTTTGAAGGGATAATGTAAAAAAATGTCGATCTAAAGATTATCTATAAACCTCCCCAACATTAGTTAACATGTTGAAAGCTGTTGACATAATTATCCAAAGTTGTATATAGCCATTGTTGTCAGCATACAGATATAGCGACTAAAGGATAGAAGCCGGTAAGTTTGAAGTTATTCCACTTCATATGACTATAAAATCCAAATAGTAACTTTTAAAATAGGGCATAGACTAGTATTGTCAATTTTATTTCGCTTGTCCTAGCTAGTTTTCATCAAGTTTCTAGTTAGTCAATTGCAGCCATCTACACATGCTTTATTATTGTTATTAATATTATTTCATTCTTCCAAAAGAGTATCCATGATCCAAACCCAAATACGTCACAGTTGGAAACTACAATAAGAATCCTTGAGAAAAGACAACTGATTGAAATATGGAGTATATTAATAACAGGTCAGAACACGGGATACCATTAGAATAATCACATTTAAACCTTTGAAGAGCTTATCTGACAGACAATTACAAAGGCTATCAATTTGCTAAACAGATGGCAATTTTATTTCGCTTGTCCTAGCTAGTTTTCATCAAGTTTCTAGTTAGTCAATTGCAGCCATCTACACATGCTTCTTTTATCATTGTTATTAATATTATTTCATTCTTCCAAAAGAGTATCCATGATCCAAACCGAAGATACGTCAAAGTTGGAAACTACAATAAGAATCCTTGAGAAAAGACAACTGATTGAAATATGGAGTATATTAATAACAGGTCAGAACACGGGATACCATTAGAATAATCACATTTAAACCTTTGAAGAGCTTATCTGACAGACAATTACAAAGGCTTCAATTTCAGATGGCAAATTCAAGATTCTGACTTTACAATTAAACTATTGACCATTAAAAAAAATTTATATGCACCATCTTTTCCTGATTCATTTATATCAAGGTGAATTAATAAATCATAAGCATGAATAACATGTTGAATAATGAAATATCATTCCTAATTGAATACTTAAAGCAACCACTCATTGACACATTGACAAAAATAACTCCTATAAATGTGTTCCTCTTCATGTTACTATTATTCATAAGCTGCAACACTGACCAATTAAACAAATCCTCATCTCTTTCAAATATCATTTGAAAGTTGAACATAAAAACCCGCTCTTAATTCTCATCTGAAAACGTCAGAATGTGTAGTGTCGAAAAACGAGGCAACATTTTCATCTTAACTTTAACAAGCAGCGGCGAAAACGACGAACACCGTCTTAACCCAACCCTAATCACTGCCATCCGCTCTGCCATTTCCGACATTAAATCCCAAACAATTTCTGCACCTCAAACCTCCTCCGCCTTGATCACTACCGCAACAGGCAAGTTCTTCTCAAATGGGTTTGACTTACGGTGGGCGCAATCCCAGCCCGGAAATGATATAAATCATTCACATCATATTGTAGAATCCTTCAAATCTTTAATCGCCGATTTTATCTCTCTTCCAATGCCAACAATCGCGGCTATCAACGGGCACGCGGCAGCAGCAGGGTTTGCGCTTGCGCTGTCGCACGACTATGTGCTGATGAGGAAAGATAAAGGAGTATTGTATATGAGTGAAGTTGATATTGGAATGACATTTCCAGAGTATTTCAATGTGTTGTATAGGGAGAAAGTTGGGTGGAAAGAGAGGAGAGAGATTATGATGAGAGGGAAGAAACTGAAGGGAGAAGGTCTGAAAATGGGAGTTATTGATGAGGTTGTGGTTGGGAATAATGGGGATGAAGTTCTTGTAAAGGGATTGAAATTGGGGCAGGATTTGTTGAAGAAGAAGCGGAATGGTGAGGTTTATTGTGAGATCAGGAAAGGGCTGTATCCTGAATTGTGTCGTGAGTTGGGTTGAAAAGGAAACATGTGATTGCTCCAAGGCTTTGAATTGTTTGTACGTTTGATTTTGTGTTTGTATTTGGATTCAATTTCGAGTTGTTTTAGCATTCGATTTGTTGTTGCATTTGTGTGCAATTCATGTTGTTTTTGTGTTCAGTTTTTTTTGTTTGTATATTTAATTTCTTGTTGGTTTTTGCTGTTAATAGATTAAAATGTTTGAAAGGTATATTGATAACAAGTTCTAGAAGGAAACAATTTGAATCATATATCTAGACCATTGAAGAGCTAAACATATCTACAATTTGAAGGGCTTACTAATAGCTAATAAGATGTAACATTGATTATAATTCCAAAACAATCTACCCATCTTGAAACCTGGCCATTTAGACATCATTTTAAACATCAGTCTTGTGCCTTGAAATTTTTTTTTTTTGACATGTAATAATGCCTGGTATCATAAGGAATAGGGTACTATTTTTTCACAAAAGCAATGTGCAGAAAAAATCATAGTGTTATTGACACCCAAGAAAATTAAACTATTCCGTATGCCATTCTACTGTCTTCCTCTATTTCAACCATAAACACAATATGGGTCAAGGGATAGGGAGAGGGGGGGGGGGGGGGGGGGTGGCCATCATGCTTACCTCAGTTCCAAGTCGCTTATTTAAAGCCTCATTCCACATATTTGCTGCATACGCTGGCTGTACTCTAGTCCACATAGACATGACAGAAATGACCTGCAATATTACAGTATTTATTGAAACTGAATGAGCCACCCTAATAGATCAGATAGCAATAAGATTCAAAACAATCAAAAGTGGCACCAAATAATTCAACTAAGTTACACTGCTACAATAAATTTTTGCAGCAAGATATGGAAAATTATAATAAAATAGATGGAGATCAACAATTTTCTGAATCAAATTAACAAAGAAGATGAAACAGTTCAGAATCCAGGCAAAAGGTATACCAAGTGAGCATCAAGAGGAGGCGGAAAGTTGTCGCCTATGGTATCAATCCAACTAAATATCATGTTATGGTAACCATATGGTTTTCCAGACATGCTTCGTGCAAATTCCCAAGCAGCAGTAGTATTGAACTTTGCTCGTACGTCAGGATGCAAGGGAAGCAAAGCTATCTGTGGATTTGATTTGTCCTTCAGCGCCAGTTTCCACCATTCGTCCCATGGAATGATCGCAATAACTTCTTCACCCTACAATTGCAAAGGAGTGAATCCAAGCATTGGACACAAGGATCAAACTAGCAAAACTTTCAGAAAATACCTTTTCATTCTCATGCCCTGATTCACCAACCCAAAGATTACCATCCTCATCTTTTAGGCAAACTGCCGTATGACCAGCAAATGCCCCAGTGACCCATTTCTCCAGTGTCTCAAATCCTCCCCAACGACCACGGATCTTTGAAACAGCCAGAAAATCCCCAGAATGGACATCCTCTGGATTAATTATTGTCTGCCAAGGCTGAGGACGCTTCTCAAATGTTGCACCCATGTGCTTCTCAAGAAAAGCTAAATTAGCATGCTGACCCCAGGCTGAATCAGAAAATAGAGGCAAAACATCCACCAAAGAAAGGAAAGTCCCCAACATTCCAGATGGCATTAAAAACACTGATATCCCATGTTGCTTTACCTGCTCCATGGAGAGTAAGAAAACCAATTGTTTATCTCAACAATAGAAGAAATTCTATAAACTAAAATATATATATATATATATATATATATATATATATATATATATATATATATATATATAACACTAAACCGTACATATTCCAATTCAGCAGCTTCTTCCCACGATTCAAACTTAAGTGTATGCTCACTGGAGGCAAAATAATAATCCCAAGTAACTCTGTAGGGTGTTGCAAAAACATAAAGATCCATACAGGTCCAACTGTGGGCTGATGACGTCTGCAAAGAGAGCAAGTAACATAAGGAGGTCAACACAGAAGATCGACCACAAAACTCAGTCTTCTACTCTTCCATTGCTGATGGCCTATCAATGGTCCATATCACTAACATTTCTTCCTTTTTTTCAGATAATAAATCTACACAATCACTGATAATAGTGCAAGGTTTTTCAAAAAGAAAGGGACACAGAATCCTAAATTAGGAGGGAAAAAAAAAAAAAAAAAAAAAATGGACTTCCCAACTTCCATGATCATCAACTTCAGTAGGATGAATGCTCTAGTAAAATCATATAGTAATCACCAAGGCTTCTTTAATTCATGATCACGTAATAATAAGAAGAAATATACTATCTCAAACATACCAGCATAAATAATTCAAAATGAATACAACAGTGCCAGAAAATTGAAAGGCGCAAAATTTCAGCACATAATTCGACCCAAATCATAAGCAGCTTACACAAACTTCAGACCCAGCACATTATTTGAAGTAATTTAATCCAACTAAATTCTATGCCAACAAAACAAGAAATATACATATAAAAAGAAAAAACCATCTAATCACAAACTTGGCAAATAAACGCAACATAGAAGCTTAAAAATAGAAACTTTAAACATTAATAACACCAATCAACACGTGATTTTGACATAGAAATAATAAATATACCGTAAGATGAAGAACACCACCACCCAAGCCCTTATCGCCGGAATCAGTGAACTCAAGACGAGCAGTATTCTCAAAAAAGCAAGCCCCTTTCCACTGAATTGACTCATTATTTTGAGGGGTGATTGAACCCACAAAAGAAGGCATCAAATCAACTGCATTATGAAGATTATTAAGTACAGGCCATGAAATTTGCCGGGGTAAAACAGGCAGAACATCATTCACCCTAAAGGGTACTTTAATTGCATCGCCCAAATTCAAACAAAACCCTAACCCTAGAAAAATTATGAACAGCAGATTGAATTGGGGTTTTTTAGTTTGAATCATACTGTAAATTAGGGTTTCTGGGGATTAATGGAGATGAAAATTTGAGATTGGAATAGGTCAAAATTGACAAATTTGGGGGTTTTAGTCGTATTATCGATCCATTTTGGATTAGAGAGAGAAAGAAAACGTGTGTGGTTGATCGGGATGATACTATTCAACTCTATTAATGATTGATGTGTTGTTACTTGTTAACCTGGTCCAAGTTACTGTAGGAAAAACCACAAGATATCTGTCATTAAAAGAAATTCTCACTGGTAATACAGAACTTTTGTTTTTTGTCAGAGGTAAAAAGCAATGAATTAGATTGTCATTGATAATCACCAATTAGTGATACTAATTTATTGGTGACATTAATGAAACTTTTACTTAATTATTGACTAACCATGGGTTTACGAATAACACAATTACAAACTTACCCTTAAAAAAAAATACTTCCCTCCAAAATTTTATGCTCCTTTCCCTCCTAAATCAATTACCTCTTTATATAAACCCTAAACCCCCCCCCCCAATTCTTATTCGTAATCCCTCTTCTTATTCTTATTCTCAATTTCTCTTAACAATTCCATGGCCAACTCTCGATCTTCTTCTTCAGTGCGAGCTATCACCATTGCTGACAACATTGTTTGGGTGAAATATGTTCGATGCAACTAATATTCCCCCAAGGTGGTTTCAGTCAAGATTTCAGAAACTACAAAGAACCCAAAAAGGCTATTATGCAAGTGCAGGGCTTGCGTTTTTTTGGCATGGCTGAATGAGGGAGATGTAATCAGGTCTGGGGATGAATTGGAACTGGAATAGGGACCAATTGCTATTGTGAAAGGAAAATTAGATGAAATATTGAAGCTTATCAAAATTGCTGCGAAAATGGCCCTAATTCTGTAATTTAATATGTTATTTGTGGTTTCAAAGTGATATGAACAATGTAATCTAAACTGATGTAATATGCAATTTAGTGAATGTATGCAATGGTTTCAGTATGAATAAAACAAGTGTTTGTTTTATGATATAACTTGCATCCCATTTTTGTTCATAATTTTTACTGTTAATTTGCTTCAAAAAAGAAAAAAAAAAAGAAAAAAAAGAAGCACTGTTCCAAAATAACATACATAAACTTTGTCAAATAACATCAAATTCAACATAAACTTAGTCCAAAATCTCTAACCATACAATGTAATCCAAAACACATAATCCATTTAAGAAAGATTTAAAAAATTCAACAAAATAAACTAAGTCAAATAACAACAAATTGAACTAATTCGGTGATCGATGAATTACATCCTCTATTGGAATTGTAGAGGTTTAGGGAATACCTCGGCGATTAATGCGTTAAAAAATATTGTTTTTCTCAAAAAACCCCAAATTATGTTTTTGTCGGAAACTAGATTAAAGTGTCATGAAATGGAGAAAATAAAAACAAAAACCAATTTCAATAATCTGTTGGTAATGAGTTGTGTAGGTGAAGGGAGAAAGAGGAGTGGGGGTCTTGCTTTGTTGTGGAAGGATAACCTTGATGTTGAAATATTATCGTACTCTTTGAATCACATTGATTCATGGGTGCGTATGAAGTCAAACGAGGGATGGAGATTTACATGGCTGTACGGATTCCCGGAGGAAGAAAATAAACACAAAACAGGTTTGCTACTTGAAATTCTGCACAACCTGGGAGGTTTGTGGGTTTGTGGTGGTGACCTGAATTTGATGCTGATGTCGAATGAAAAAAAAAAGGGGGGGAGGGAATTTAATTTAGTGGAAGCTGATTATTTAAGAAGGGCAGTTGATACGTGTGAGCTTGAGGATATGGGATTTATTGGACATGAATTTACATGGAACAATAATAGGGGGGGAGAGGAATGTGCACGAGCGACTTGATCGTTTTTTGGCAAATAAAGAATGGAAGGAAAGATTCTCAGGTTCTTTTGTGTCTCATTTATCAAAACGGAAATCAGACCACTTACCAATATTGTTGTGCATTAATGAGGGAATAGGAAGGCAGAAAAAGAACAAAAAAAGAGGAAAAAATACAGATTTGAGGAAATGTGGCTACGGGATGAATCGTGTGGGGATATTGTTGCTAATGCATGACTTGGAGGGGGAGATTTATGTTCAAAAATTGCTCACACATCGTTGAATTTGAGTGCTTGGAGTCGAAACAAATTTGGAGATTTTATCAAAGAGTTGAATGATTGTAGAGCTCAAATGGAGATTTTGATGAAGGAAGAATAAACTGATGAAGTTATTGCTCAAATGCGAGCTTTAGATGACAGGATGGACGAGTTGGAAAATAGAGAAGACTTGTATTGGAGACAAAGGAGTAGACATGATTGGCTTAGAAATGGGGACAAAAATACAACCTTTTTTCATCAAAAAGCTAGTCAGCGGAAGGCGGGAGAAACCACATATGAGAAATAAGGGATGGAGCGGGCAATGTGTATGATGAGGAAGAGGAAATTGAGGAGGTTAAACACTTTGAGGAGCTTTTCTCGACAGGAGGTCATGCTGAAACCGCA